CACTTAACTAAAAACCTGTGGAATGAGTGTGTGTAGAGGGAAGCCCTGTGCACAGCAGTAGCTCAAAAAACATTCCTTCCCTGCCACTAGCTACGTGCTCCCCCTTCCACACCCCCCTTGCCCCCTCTCACTGACCTGGTTTAGATGCCAGGCAGCACATATGGGTTCAAGGCGGCAGGGAAATCAGAGATCTGCATCTCCTGGAGCTGGTGGCAGTGGGCTAGGGACTCCTTCCTTGCTGTGCCTTACTGAAGTGGTGGCAGTGAGCCCCTCAGGAGCCTCTGTCACCTGTCCTCTTATCTGGGCCTTCCTATAGCTCCCCAGGACCTGCTCAAGAGGTAAAATTCAAAGGAAACTATCATGGTAGAGAGCGTTTGCTTATGGGAATAGGGGGCAGAGTGCAGGGAAGCAACACTCTTACCCGCTACTCGCCACTCTGGAAACTGGCCCGTGGATTGTGAGGGCATTTCAGCAAAACTAATGAGCTGGAGAACATGCGAGTACTCGGAGGAGTCTTTCCTACATAAGACTGTGCCAGGGCTGAGTTTTTTTGTTTGTTTGTTTAGTTGTAGATGAACACAATACCTTTATTTTTTTATTTTTATGTGGTGCTGAGGATTGAACCCAGTACCCCACACGTGCTAGGAAAGTGCTCTATCACAAGCCACAACCCCAGCTAACCGGGACGGAGTTCCAAGACAGGACTCTCAACTTGGCATTAGTGACATTGGGGGCCAGGTAATTCCTATTGTGGGGGCTGTTCTGTGTACTTCAGGAGGTTCAGCAGTATCCCTGGTCTCTAGACACTAAGCCAAAAACACTCTCCCCTGGTTGTGGTCAGCAAAAATGTCTTCAGACATCACCCCTTGTCCCCTTGGGAGCAAAGCCATCTCAGCTGAGAATCAGAGTTCTCCCTTCCAAGCACCAAGCAGGCCTGACCTGCTTAGCTTCTGAGATGAGATGAGAACCACAGTAATAGTAAAAAGCTGGAAGCAACCTAAATGCCCTTGACAGGGGTCTGGTACTACAGTAATGCTTAACATGACAACTCCACTAAGTTCAGCAAATGCTTAGGTAGCATTCACCAGGTACAGGGCCCATTTAGTGCCTTGTACCTACCAATCCAACCCACACAGCAACACCACAAAGTAGACTTTTTACCACCTCCCCTTTAATAAGGAAATTGAAGAACGCAAGTGAAACGACTTGCCCCATAACCCAAAAAGGAAAGAACAGAACTGAGATGTGACCCAGGGCAGCCGGGCTTCACCTCACACCGTACCCGATGGCCTTTCAAGTTAGGGGGACTGAATTCAGGTCCCTGCTCCCCCACTTTATAACCTTCCCAAGCTTCAGTTCCCTTTGCTGTGAAACAGAGACATCAGCAGTTCCTCCACCATAGGCTCACACAGGGAGGACTCAACACAGTCCTCCCAGCCCAAGGAGTGGGTGCCGCTACTCAGCAACATTCTCTGTGGTACCAATCCTGAACACAAATACCAGCCTGGCAGTACCAGCACTGAGACCTTCAGTACTCAGCAAAAGGCTTGATGCTTGGCAGAACTTATAATGTCACCCCTTTTTCTGAAACACAAACAGGTATCCACCACATTGCCTCCATTCTGATGTTACTGAGGGTGTAAGCAGCTCCTGACCCATGCATACAATTCACCCATAGCATCCTTTCAGAAAACCAATGAGTTACAGATCAACAATGAGACTTACAGGGCACAGTGTCCTGGGCGTCAGGACAGGGAAAAACAGATCAGAGGGGCTGTGCTAACAGAGGCAGACTTCAGGATGTGGGAGTCAAGGCAGGCTCACAAACCAAACATCAGACTCTGAACCCCACTCTGCCATTTGCTGTGGGACCTTGGGCAAGTCACCATCCCTTTCCTCATCTTATCCATATACTAGAGATAATAAGAGTGTAGGCCTCCAAGGCTGTGGCAGGATTAGATGAGCTAATCCACATGAGTCCTCCCAACAGAGCTGACACAGCAGCTGTCCAGCACACATCAGATGTTACGATCTCCTCTGGTAGGTGGAGACATGGGAATTTCACTTCCTACACTGTATATTTCTGAACATGTGAATTTTTACCTATTCTACCTCCTTGGTGAGAAGGTGGCGTCAAAGAGACTTTTCTCTTCATCACCCTCCCTACCCTGCCACCGACCCCATCTGTCTACTTGGAGCAGGTGGAAATGGGGACAGGAGGAGGACGTGGGCAGGCTGCAAAAGAAACCAGAACTAGAATAAGCACTAGAACAGCTTTCCTCATCTTCTCTGCCTCCCCCGCCACACGCACCTTCCCCATACTGCCACCCAGGGCCTTACGAACCCACAGAAACTATGTCAAATTATTTTGAGTCTCTCTGGTCATGGTGCCTGGCCATGGGCTCCAAACAAACAGAGCACCAGGCCATAGCCAGCAGGGTCCTCCAAGAACAACTCTGACGCTACTCAGGCCCTCTCCTAGGTGCACATCTAAGGCCAACTTGGAGACTGCCAGGGCCATCTGCCTCAGTCCCTCCTCCACTCTTCAACCTCTTAGGTCAGCAGCTCTAACATACACAACTCCCCCTTCTCCTGGTCCCTTGAAGACTTTGCTTTCTCACTCCAGAGCCTTTGCACATGCTGTTGCCCTGACCAGCATGCTATTTACCCATTTTTTTTTTTTAAGAGAGAGTGAAAGAGAGAGAGAGAATTTTTTTCTTTATAATATTTATTATTTAGTTTTCGGCGGACACAACATCTTTGTTTGTATGTGGTGCTGAGGATCGAACCCAGGCCGCACGCATGCCAGGCGAGCACGCTACCACTTGAGCCACATCCCCAGCCCGCTATTTACCCATTTTCATTTGCCTACTGCTTATTTCCTCAGGAGAGCAGACCTCAGAGCTTGGCCTTCTCTCCCCTTCACCACACTTACCTCTAATGCCCAGCCACCTGGACAATTATCTGGGTAATGTGGCCTCCCCTGCTGGACTGGGAGCTCCACATGGCAGGAACAGAGTCTGCCCTGGTTCTCACTGTGTTCCCAGCCACACCCAGTACGGGCCAGGCCCAGAGCTTTAATTCATTCCAGGAGCGGGTGGCAAACAGAATCACAATTTTATGCTCAGAGTTCTGCCACGTGAAGGTGAAACAAAAAAATCCTCCATTCACTCACTCCACAAACATGGCAATAACTGCATCAGCACTGTCTTGGCCACCAAGGATGCAGCAGTGACCCGAACAGAACCCCTACCATTAAGGAATGTGGGGATAGGCAATAAAATAAACTCAGGAGCGAATTATACAATATATCCAAGATTGACAAATGTTATAGGAAAAGCAGCCTATGGAGATAAGATGTAAAGGATGGTTAAGGGATTCCAACTTTATACAGAGAGAGGCTCATGGAGACAGTGACATCTGAGCCAAAACATGAGAGCCACATGGAGTCCTAAAGAAGAGCATTCCAGGGGCTGGGGATGTGGCTCAAGCGGTAGCATGCTCGCCTGGCATGCGTGCAGCCCAGGTTCGATCCTCAGCACCACATACAAACAAAGACGTTGTGTCCGCCGAAAACTGAAAAATAAATATTAAAAAAAAAATTTTCTCTCTCTTTAAAAAAAAAAAAAAAAGAAGAAGAAGAGCATTCCATGCAAGGAGAAGACAAGCAAGGCCAAGAAGTGGGGTGCATGAGGCTCCACCAGGAGGTTGAGAGAGAGTAGAAAAGAGAGGGACAGGAAATATGGTACAGAGAAGCCTGGCTGGGCAGTACTGTGGATGCCCCTGCAAGGGCTGTGCTCTCCATAGGAGTAAGATGGAGACCTGCTGGCCTGAGGTGGGCAGAGGGAGGGGGCAGCACATGGAACCATCGACATCAGTACAGGGTGGTGGTCTTCAATAGGCAGGGTTGTGTCGCAGTCTTCCTTTCTAGGAGCTGTACCCAGAATAAGCCCTGTGCACTAGCCTGACACTTCCACCACATGTCCCACGTGGGGACCAAAGAACCTGCATTTGACAGATAAGGAAATCAAGGATGAGATTAATTCCCCACAGACAGAGGACCAGGACACAGTCAAGGAGACTGGACCCCTACTGTCAGACCCTGAGTCCTGTGTCTACCTCTCTCTGCCTCCGCTCAAAAGATAAAGCCAAAACTACTCTCTCGTTGCCTATGCCTCTGACCCCTGGGCAGCCCTCTCTTACTTACCACTCCAGTCATTCTGCAGAACTAAGCTGTCCCCAATACACACACAAATACCTGTGTCCATTCACACACACAACAGGACCCCTCCAGACCGGCTGAATGGGCACCTCCCGCACACATGCTGTTCTGTGTCATCACCATCTGCCTCCCCACCCCCAGGGTCCTCTGAATCTGAAGCAGGGCCTGGTCGCCTGAGTTCCTACCTTACCTCTAGGACACCTAAAAGCAAACAGGCAGGGAGTGACCAGGGCCAATATTTAGTAAGTGCTCACAAAGTGCCAGGCACACACTCCTGTTGAATCCTCCCCACAATTCTGAGAGGTAGATAATACAACATCCCTGTTATACAGATGAGGAGATTAAGACTCAAAGAGAGCTACATGCACAAAAGCACAGTGAGCCCATGCAGGGGATGGGCTGAGCCTAGGGTGGAGGCACCCAACAGAACAGAGATGTGGTTACTGAGAGTCTGAACTGCAGCCTCGGCAAAAGAATTGTTTTTATTTCTATTTAATTTTAATTAATTAAAACTCACACCCTGGGGGCTGGGGATGTGGCTCAAGCGGTAGCGCACTCGCCTGGCATGCGTGTGGCCCGGGTTTGATCCTCAGCACCACATACAAACAAAGATGTTGTGTCCGTCGATAACTAAAAAAAAAATAAATATTTAAAAAAAAAAAACAAAAAAAACCTCACACCTGGAGTCTGAAGTAGGAGGAGGGATGTGCCAGTCACCCCGCCTGGATAAGAGAAGCTCCCATACTACAACCCCTCTCCAACACCCCAACCAGCTCACCTCAGAGAACTGGAGCAGGACTCGGAGGCCCAAACTCACACCTCCAGTCGACTCCAATCCTGACTCTACCACCTCCAGGCTTCACAGATTGCTTCTCTGAACCTTAGCTCCTCATCTGTAAAATGGGATTTAATACCATCAGACAGAGCATATATTTATGTCACCTCAAAATTTTTTTGGGACAACCCCGTGTTGTCACGGGAACCCACTGAGATGTGCCTTATGCACAGCTAGGGATAAGACCAGTGCCTGGGGAAAGCAGCAGCAATTACACAAAGGTGAACTCTGAAATCAAGGGCCATCTTGAGCCTCAGTCTGGGTCAGGGAAGTAGGAAGGAATCATCCAGATGACTTTCATCATGCCTACATTAGCTTGTTGAAAATATCATCTAAATGAAAACACAGATTTAAAAAAATAAATAAATAAAAAATAAAAAAAGTAGACATTAAAAGGCCCCTGGATGCCAGCATGAGAAGCTGCGGGAGGGACCCTCCTGCCTCCAAAGCAGAACATGGCCTTCTTCTTTGCCCTCGCCCATCTTCTGAGCCACCACTTAAATCCAGCCAGCTCCCTCTCACACAGTGCCTCCCCACCTACCTGTCTGTCCCTCCTCTTGGGGTCCAAGTCATGGTTCCTCACTATTGTCTGGTTCCTGGGCCCTCCCACCCTCCCATCTCCTGCTACATTGATCAACTCTATGTCACCACCATACCTAGGTCTCTCTCACCTCAGGGCTTTACCTGTGCCGACTCTGCCAGCCCACCCCTTGGGGCTTCCTGCCATGGCTTGCACGCTCCCTCCTCAGGGGAATTCCCAAACCCAGCTCTATATGTTCCCATCCTCCGTACCCTCTGATAGGCTAGGTACCATTCCCGGGCACCCAAAACCACACACGGCAGAACAGGGACTCAATAAATATTTGGTGGTAGACTGGAATACACAAATGACCAAAACCAGCCACGGGCTAGCTCCTATGGCCATTCAGGAATCAGACGTCAAGGCAGGGGAGGGATGTGCCTCCCAGTCTCCTCTCTTCTCCCAGCCTCTAGGGGTCTCTAGGGAAAGGATGTGCCAAGATCAGAGTTGCACAGGCAGTAGGGGTTAGAAAGAAGCAGTCACACCCCACCGCTCAAGCCGGCATCCAAAGGAGGCCTTTCCAGGATGACTGATGCCTACTCTGTGCCAACTGCCTAGGAGAAGAGAAAGCAAGAAAGAATTCATTATAACAACTGTGAGGACCCCAGGAACATTAACCACGATATCTGTCAAAAGAAGATCTGGTCTTATAAAGGCAGGTGGAGCCAGATGTGATGGCACACACCTGTAATCCCAGCTGCTCTGAAGGCTGAATGAAGCAGGAGGATCCCAAGTTTGAGGCCAGCCTGGGTAACTTAGCAAGGCTCTGTCTCAAAGTAAAAAATAAAAAAAGCCGGAGATGTAGCTCAGTGGTATAGTGCCCCTGCTGGGTTCATGCCCCGATACCAAAAAGTGGGGGAGGACAGTTGTAACGAAGATGGAACTGGGTCCAAATTTTCGGTCACTGACACTGACTGATCTAATGTGTCCCTGTACCTCTATCTCCTCCCCTGTAAAATGGGGAGATAATAGTTGCACTGAGTTCCCAGGCTGTGGGACAACTAATGAAGGGAGACACGTTCAGCTTCGGAGCCATGTCCAGCATAGAGAGGCCACTCAGCTAACAATTCTCAATAACAACACAGATAGGCTATGTAGCTTTCAGTTCTGCAGTTTCCCATCTACAAAATGGGGTGACAACACTGTCCACCCCCAAGGCTGTCGTACAGGTTGTAAACTAACTGGCTAACTGGCATGGGGTACTTATTGCAGCTCAGGGTGGGGCCCTCCCAGGTGAGCGCCTCAACTAACAGGTCCCCCACTCTTCCAAGGCTCCAACTTTGAACCCACCCTGCCAATAGACAAGTGCAGGCTGGCTGTCCCCAGAGCCCTTCTCTACTCTCAGATGCCCATCAACCCCAGCCTCCCTTCCCAGAAATAGCAACTCAAGTAAGTCAAGCACTTTCTCAAGAGGCTGATGCTTTCCAAGGCTGGACTCGAACTTTTGATCCTCCTGCCTCAGCCTCCCGCATATGGGGTCAGTGCTCCCTAACACCTTAGCTCCCTAAGCCCTCCCACACCCCGGCTAGGCAGGCCCTTCAGAAGTAAACCAAGGTCCCCGGGGTTCCATGGTAACTAAGGGGTATCAGAAACAGAGCTCTCTGCCATTAGTTGTCCTCAGCCTGGATTATTAGGCAGTCCGGCGAGGTGAGGGCAGGCCAATAACCCACCAGTCAGTGAGGAGCCTGAAAGCAAGCCAATAAGGGGAACAAGGCAGTGGCAGCAGCCCCAGTCCATTAGGAAAGGGCCCACAGGGTGGCAAGCAGAGGAAGGCTTGGATTTCTGGCCTCACCCTTAGAAACAACATCTGTAGACAAGCTTCCCAGGCAGGGCGGCTGGGCTCGAGGAACTTCCTGCAGGAACCTCTGACATGGAGTCTCTCCTTGGCTGGCTCTGGCGTGCTGTCCCTGCTCAGTGCACTCAAGAGCACCCAGGCCCTACTGTGGGTGCTAAGCTGGCAGTGGGTCCTGTCCCAATGGGGCCAGGCCAAGATCCCCACTCTGTCCCCTCCCATACTCGCTCCCTCCCTCCCTCCTGGTCCTGCTCCGGAGCTGTCTCCCCAGCTGGGCCTCTCGCTGCTTGGCTGGCTATCCAAAAGAGCCTGCCACGGAACCACCCCACCACGCAGCCCAGAGGCCTGATGGCTGAAGGCCTTGCTCTGAGAGCTCAGGAAAGCTGGAGAGGCCCAGACAGGGGTGTTCCTGGTCCTTCAGAAGCCTGAGATTAACTGCAGAAGACACTCCTTCCCATTCCCACTTCCCAGGGGATTTCTGGAACCCCAGGAGGTTTCATCTGAGGGAGGCTCTGTTCCATCCAGGATGATACTCCAGATCAAGCCTCAGAAAACATTAGGGGTCAAGCCCACCTAGGGTTACTGAGCCTCTTCATGTGCTGGAGAGACCCCCCGGGAGCCAGACCACCCAAATTCAGCACCTGGAACCAACACTTCCAGTTGGGAGACCCAGAGCAAGTTAGAGGGTCTCACTGCTGTCAGGTGGGAAGTGGAGCTGATTCCTTAAGTCTGCAGGGTCTTCACCTAGGTCGTGCTATGGCCCCTTCCACAGCACTCCTTCACTGCCACGGGGAGGCCACCCTTGACTGTCCAGCTAAAGCAGAGTTAACATTCCTACCCTTCCTTCCCCTGATGCCCACTTATCTTGCCTTTATAACACCAACCACAACCTGATGTGGCACTGCAGATCCACAGGCTGGGCACCTGTCTTCACTGGAGGGTGCCCCAGGAGGCCTGGTCTTTCCAACTCTCCAGCAGCACTGAGCATATCACAGGTCCACAAGCTGAGCAGAGGGCACAATCTGCAGCAAGACTGTTTCTATCAATGTCTGCAGTTCTGCATTATTTGCCATCCACCCAGCTGGCTGCGTTAGGGAGGGGTGGGTGGAAAAGCCAGCCCATTGCCCCTCGCCTTGCTCCCCAAAGGTAACAGCCATGGGCCCTAGGGAACACAGTGTGAAAACCACAGAAAAGGGAGGTGACCATTGGGCCTCTGCCAGTCGTAAGGCAGTGATTCCGCTCAAGGGGGAAGTGGGAGGCATGTGAAACTCCCTGCCCAGCTCAGTCAATGTACCCACCTCCAGGGAGAAGCCTGAGAACCTCTCATGGTGGAAGTCACCTTCTAACTAAAATTTGCCCAGGCTGCTCCAAACTCCTCTTCTGGCAGTCTACCAGGACCTGAGGGAGCTAGGCCCTGCCACCCCTGCCTGCCCTAGCCCCTGACTCCCCTCATGGGCTCCGCCCAGTCACACAGGCCCCTGTGCGGTCCATTCCTGCACCTCACCCAGTCGTCCTCCCTTTGGACCTAACCACTGTGGGTGCCCCCACCTGGAAGGCTGTTCCTTCACTGATTCACCTGCCTGTCTGATGTCAGCTCCCAGGTCCTCCCTGCCACCATGTATAAGGGAGCTCCCCATAAGTCTCCATCATCTAATCTGAATTTGCTGCCTGGCATCTAAACTATTCCATGCTTAGTCACCTGTTTTACACTGTTCTCCCTCAGCTCCACGAGGTTAGGAATTTTGATGAGTGTACCCCCATATCCCCAGTACCTAATGCAAGGCCAGGCAGAGTAGAGGCTCAATAAATGGTGGTGGATGAATGAAATACTTTCCCAGCTCAAGGACCTCAGGATAAAATCCATACCTCTCACCTGGGTCCCACAGGCTCTTCCAGGACTCTCCCTACCAACTCCCACCCTTGGTGTCACTCTAGGAGCTATGGTGGAGAGCTAGGCATAGTGGCACCAGCCTATAATTTCAGTGATTTGGGAGGCAGAGGCAGGAGGATCACAAGTTTGAGGCCAGCCTCAGTAACTAGGTGAGACCCTGTCTCAAAATAGAAAATAAAAAGGGCTAGGATGTAGCTCAGTGGTTGAGTGCCCTGGGTTGAATTCCTAATGCTACCATTAAAAAAAGAAAGAAAGAAAAGCACGTGGAGAAGGGTAAGCACACAGCCTGACATCTAGAAAGATCTAGAATGTTTATCTAGGAAGGGCTCAGGGCAATAGCTATAGGTAAAAGAGAAGGGGCCTGGGAGCTGCGTTTGTCAGCTTTTACTTGATTGTATGCCCACCACACACCATTTCTGATCTGGAAAATGGAGATGCTGATGCTGGCCCCGCCCTCTTCCTAATGTTTTCTGACATGGTCCTGTGAACTAGCAAGGGCCTTCAATGACCTAGCAGGAATGATAAAAACTAGAACTGCTGGCATACCTGGGGGTGCATCTGTCTCTGTCATCTGTCCTAAGTAGAGAGAAGAGGAAGCAGTTACTGCAGGCTTACTGTTCTGCCCACAGAATCCTGGGACGCCGGAGGGGATGCAGGGTGCAGGGTGGGCAATGCAGGATGCCCTCAGTCCTGCACATAGTAACACAGTCGAGGTCACCAACTGGGACATCCACAGATCCAGGTACCACAGTAGGCACTTCTCAGGGATTAACTCACCAAATCCTCACAACAGCCTGAGGTGGGGGTGGGGGCCTTTCTGAGTCCACTGCCTGGAGATGTGTGCTATATCCTAGGAAACTGCCAAAAAGTGACACTGCCAGAACACACACCCATGCCCATGTCCCCACCATTCCTCTAACAGATCCCCAGTAGTTGTGTCACCACCTGCATAGTTCTCTTGCTGAATCCTGCTCCTAGCACACATCTGCCTGGGCTAAAAGAAGCCCTAGCTCAACTCCATGAAGACACCAAGTTTCCCCAGAAATGCTGGACTCCATAAGCAGGAGTCTTCATGGCAATCCAGGCTTAGGAGAAAGGGAAAAAAAATGCCTAGGGCAGGGGCCAAGGGGACAGAGACCCACTTCAGCATGGAACCTGCTGAGCAATGATGTATGTGCAGTACCAGAGTATAACTACCTGGGGTTGCAACCACAGCCTGGCCTCCCAGGGTCTGGCAAGACCTGGGGGAAGGCAATTCCTCCTCCAAGCCTTCTACACACAACACACACAAACACCAAATAAAGCCCCAAGCCCAGTGCCAGGCAGGGTATCCACTCACAAAAGCCACTACCTGTGGGCATGGTGGCACACACCTGTAATTCCAGCTACCAGGAAGGCTGAGGCAGTAGGATTACAAGTTTGAAGCCAGGTGGAGGAGGAACTCTGTGAGACCCTGTCTCAAGTTAAAAATTTTTTTTTTTTAAAAAAAAGGACTGGTGATGTAGTTCAGATATAGAGCACCCCTGGGTTCAATCCTCAGTATGGCCAAAAAAAAAAAAAAAAAACACCACTGCCCAGTTACCAATTACTCATTGACAAAAGGACCACTGTGGGGCAAACATGAGCCGAGAGTTTACATCCCAACTACACCATTTCCAGACCTTAGGGAAGTGGTTTCGCTTCACAGTGAGTGCCTCATTTCCTTGTCTGTAAAATGGGCATCACCCTACCTTATTCATAGAATTCTATAAAGTAGGTATAACAATAAATTTTGAAACTTAAATGAAGTCTCTTAAATAAAGTTGCGTGACCATATGTGCAAAACACCTGTCACATGTCCAGCATGGAGGCGAATGCTCAATAAACACTAATTATCCACTCATTCTGGAAATGGTGCCTCTCTGTACCTCAGTTTCCTCATCCAAAAGTGCCTGTCACTCTAGAACACTAGTGTTCAGCAAGTTAACCTACGTGAACTATCCTTAACATAACGTGGCACAGAGAATTCACTCATTTAATGTCAGGCATCAATTTCAGGTTATTTTTTTTTATTGCTGTTAACCCCATCCAGTGAACCCTCTAAAAGTTAGTAGGAGGAGAAGACTAGAGGAACAAACCCTGAGTGTAGAATAACCCTAGAGAGCACTGCTTCACATGACTCCGGGATCTGTCTCTCCAGGAACCACGACCCATGGAGGCCAGTCAGCTTGGAAGCCACCGGCTATAGACCACAGGCAACCATCTGCCCCCTTGACCATTCATCAGCCCAGTCAGCAGGATCAATCAGGGACTTCAGCCAGTCCAACCTGAAATCCAGACCCAGGGCAAAGGTTATAGGGCAAGTCAAGGTCACAAGTTGGCCTAGGGAGCAGTGGCCACACACTTTTAGAGCTGTCTGCTCCAAACACCCATCCAGTGACTACAAAGAGAAACCAAATCTATGAAGGATCTGACTGTCCCAAACCTTTCAGAGCAGCACTTCTCCCTGAGCTCTGGGCCAGGGAACCCCCCATCCAGGTCCCCTTGGCCTATGCGGAGAGGAACAGCTGGGAAAACAGCTCTCAGCCTCACCGTGAGGCCAACTGTTATCACCGAACTGGTAGGGAGCACTGGTAGGGAGCGTAAACATGACTGGCAGCTGGGCTGGTAACCAGGAGACATAAACACCAAGGTGGTGCCAGGATGGAGGAGCTTGCAGTGGTGCCCACCAAGGATGAACTTAGGCAGGACAAACTCTGGCTGCTTCTCTGGGAAGGGAAGAGTGAATAAGATTGAAAAGGAGCCCAATCAGAGGTCCTAAGTGCTCCAACCCAGGCCTCTGCTAAGCCCCAATTCGTCTTCAAATAAGAGAAAAAGAGTCTTAGAATCCTAAGGATCGAGATGTCCCCTGCTACGCTGCCCTAGGGGAGAGTGTCCCTCCAAACACTTCTTTCTCCCAAGTCTTAACAAGCAGGTCCTGGGGCAGCTCCTCAAATATAAGCCCAACACCCTCTCCCCTCCCTAATAAGGAACCTAAGGCTCAGAAAACTTACGTGATTTCTAAGACCTATTACCCCCACTCCCCGGAAGGAAAAAATTTGCCAAAGGATGTCCCACACACCTTAAAAAGAAATAATCTGAGCAGATTCTGGAGTCCAGAGCAAACAACACCGTGGTTCAAAGGACCCCAGTAACCATCAGTTCTCCCCAAAATCATTAATAAAAGTTCAATCAAGAGTGAATTTCACGTAAAAGCCCACCACTACACATTAAATACGGAAAGCAGAAGCTCCTTCTCACCACTCGGTATCACAGCTCTATCAAAATACACCCCTAAACACCCACCTGGCCCGTCCTGCCCCCTGTTCCTCGTCCCCTCTCCCTCCCTGACCCAGCTCCCCACCAGGCCTCGGTGGTAGGATCCAGACGGCCCCACCACTGACACACTTGGTACAGGCCCCTCTCCAGAAGCCCCACTCCTCTAAATGCACTATAGGAACGGCTCTTAAGCCCCCAGATAACACAGTCCTCGACACTAGACCCCGTGAGCACCCTCAAGGGTTCGGCCCTCAGCCCCCTCAGGGGTTCGGCCCTCGCAGGCCTGGTGAGCTCCCCCAGCCGCCACAGCTGCGCAGCTCGCCACCCCCGCCCCCAGCCCCTCTGGGCTAGTCCCCCCGCCCCCGCGCAGCCACCCCCACTCAGTTCCGGAAGGGGGGGTTCGAGGACTCGGTCCCCGCCCGGCGGGCAAGGGTGGTACGGCCCAGGGCGGCACCGCGGGGGGCCCGGACGCGACCATCGCGGGGGGGGGGTGCGCTCGGGGACACGCGCTGGCGCACTCACCTGTCACCGGCGGCCGCCCAGCCTCTCCGGCGGGGCTCTACCCGCGCCCATCGCCACGCTGCGCTAGCTACAGCTCCTTGTGTTTTCTGGCGGCGGCAGCGGCAGCGGCGATGCCTTCCCCGAGCCAGGCCCAACGGCTCGCGCGGCGCGGCCCCCCCGCCCCCTCCCCCCAGCCCCCGCTTGCCGCCCCCTCCCACCCCCTAGCCGGAAATACCGCCTTCTCCCGCCACAAACAGGAACTGACGTACAAAGAACGAGGGATGGCCTTGGACTGGGCCACGGCGCAAGCGTAGGGAAGGGAAAGAAGCCGGCCCACAGCTGGGCGCCTGCGCTCGTTGGGCAGTTTGGGTCGGTGTGGCTAAGGGCCTGGCCTACCTCTCCTGGAAAGGAGAGGTAGGGCAGCGCAGGCGCCGTAGAACTCGGACGCCTGCTTTCTTTAGAGGCCAGCCACAGAGAAAATTTCCCGGCAACCCCCGGTCCTTATTTACATACGCTTTGATCTGCTCCGCTCTCGCCTGTACTCCTAGTTCCGAGGCTCTTAAAGAGCCCAGGAGCCGAAGTTGGAAGGTTCTTTTTCAGCGTGCCAGTCATGGTTGAGCTCAGGCTCTGAAGCCACACAACCCCAAAATTTGAGTTTCCTCTTTTTCAGTGACTGTGGGCAGACGGTTTTCTGTGCCTCAGTTTCCACATCTGCAAAATGGAAACAATCACACTTTAAGTAAACAGAACAATTTTTATCAATATGACAATCTCTCATTCCAAAATCTATATCCAAATAAATATGGGCTGTATATCTTTTTTTGTGGATCAACTTGGGCCCACAAAAGTCTTAAAATCGCCCTGCTAGAAAAGAGATTTAAACGGATCGCGGCCCCATGTATTTGCTAGTGTACCAGACAATTGAAAGACCTCTGGCTCCCAGTCCCTTCTCATCGTTTGGGAGAGGATTGCTACCTTCTGAATTTGGGTTTCACCCTGCCAAAAAGCTTGGCAAGTATGCACCGGTGAGCGAGAAAAATGGCTCCAAGCTCTATCCTGGGTCCACCTCTGTGAGAGGGTCTCAGGCAAGTCTCACCCAGGGCTAGGCTTTAGTTTCTCCAAAGGTCAACTAATACTGGTACTAGCTCTTAGTTAAGGAATTTCCAACTTGGAATTCACTTGCTCCTCTGTATTCCTCTATTCCTCTTTTCCTTTTTTTTTTTTTTTTCCACCAGGGATTTAACCCAAGGGCACTTAACCACTGGGCCCACATCCCCAGCCCTTTTATTTTTTGAGACAGGGTCTCACTAGGTTGCTTACAGACTCACTATGTTGCTGAGGCTGGGTATGAACCTGCAATCCTCCTGCCTCAGCCTCCCTAGCTGCTGGGATTACAGGCATGTACCATCACGCCCAGCTGTGTTCCTAATTTCTGAACTTCCCTCCTCAGGGTTGATAATTCTCACCAATGCCTCTGAGATCTCTCACCATTTGGGTATATTACTGTCTGGTGACAAGTCTGTCTCACAACACAGGGAGCCCCCACGAGAGGAGAGACCAAGACTCTCAGTCATCACTGTGTACTCAGCACTGCCCCTGCAAGTCCTGCAGGGAGTGGGCTCTTAAGGAATATTTAAGAATTAGCTCTGGGGCTGGGGTTGTGGCTCAGCGGTAGAGCGCTTGCCTAGCACGTGCAGGGCCCTAGGTTCAATCCTCAGCACCACAAAAAATGAATAAATAAAGGTATTGTGTCCAACTACAACTAAAATAAATAAATAAATAAATAAGAATTAGCCTACTCTAGACCAGTTACTGTGGCCTACCCTCTTCATTCTCATCAGTGCCAAATAATTCACAGCCCACCGTTTCCCTCCCTCTGAGTCTCCCTGGGCTAACCCTTTTAGGGCACCTGGTGAATTACAACACACTAAGACCTCACTGAAACCTCCCATGTGCTTATGTATAAACTCTTTGGGGAAACCTGTCATCAAGGACAATGGCTTTCAAACTGTTTATTTGAAGACCTATTACATCCATGTGTAGATTTTCAGAATAATGAAACTAGAATATCACCAAATGTATTTACCCTCATGTATGGTACACTCTAATATTTAATATTCTTTTAATTTTTTCAATATTGAGACCTTGCTGAACTTATTTTATGAGCCACTAATGGGTTTGAACCTTTCTATTTGAAGATGGGCAGGTTCTAGTCACATCTTTCCTGTGTTCTTGTCAAAATAACTTTCCTTTTCTGGACTTTGCCTTTCCTTATTGGAAAATAGTATTAATGGCATTTATTTAGCATTTATTATGGCCAGGTTCTGTGTCTAATACACTCCTACTGATGCTACCCTGTTGCTATCTACACAGTAATCTTGAGGATGAAGTGCAATGGTTAAAGGGTTAGCTCAAGTTCCCAGGACAATTTAGGGATAGAGATAGAGACTCAGACTGTCAGATACCAGAGCCTGTGCTTTTAAGTCACATCATGCTGGAAAACAGAAAGTACAGGCCCTACTTCTTGGGCCCACAAAAGTCTTACTACTTCTGGGCCCTCTTCTGCTTCAGCAAACCACCTAATTATTGTTTGAGGGCCTCAGTCTTTCGATTTCAACATCAAGGGTGATGGAAGAGAAAATTCCCTAAAACCCAAATTTGTTCTTTTCCCTCTAATCTAGTCTATGAACTCCTGCCCATAACTATAAACATGGGTTGCACATACATTATTTGGGGGGTGGGGGTGAGATTTCAGATGAAATCTTTTTTTTTTTTTTTTTTTTTAAAAATATTTATTTATTTATTTATTTTAGTTCTCGGCGGACACAACATCTTTGTTTGTATGTGGTGCTGAGGATCGAACCCGGGCCGCACGCATGCCAGGCGAGCGCGCTACTGCTTGAGCCACATCCCCAGCCCCCAGATGAAATCTTGATTAACAACAAAAAAGATTAAGGATCCTTCCCTGAGGGATAAGGAGGGTATTTTCTCAAAGCCTCCTACTGTCCCAGGAGAGAAGAGATCAGGCCCCAGAGCCTGTTTCAATCCTTGCCACAGAAAACAGTTTCCCAATGGTGACTGGACAAGCTGCATGGATCAGCCACAAAGAACCTCTTAGCACTCCATCCCTGTGAGGTCTAGGAGTCAAAGCCTGGCAGTGATGGAGGATGCCATTAGGAGAGAACCTTCCCTTCCCTTCTACGTGGGCAATCAAGAGATACAACCAGGAGGAATGAGAATCCCCCCTTTCTCACCCTAGTAAAGCGTTTGGGGGTTGCAGGGAGCAAGTCCACAGCGTTGATTACATTATTGAGTCTGGAACTTTTCATTTTAATCTAAAGTATTTTAAAGAGGTCCCCATGTTATAAAGAATCATTGAAACAATATCTTCAAATCCCCAGCCAGAAGTCACTAAGCTCCCCCAGTGCTACTGTATTGGGAAGATCTTTTTAGAGTAATGTTATGTGTTTGGCAGAAGTACAGATAAGCCTCAGGGATTATGTTGGTTCCAATTTCCTCGTTTATAAAATGTTTCAAACTCTTTCAAAATTGTTAATAGAAGACACCATCACATTTCTTGTTTTCTTTTTTTGTATGGGGTATTTAACCCAGGAGGATTTTACCACTGTGCTCCATCCCTCAGCCCTTTTTGAGACAGGATCTCACTAAGTTGCTTAGGGCCTCACTTAGTTGAGGAAGCTGGCATTGAACTTGTGATCCTCTGTCTTAGCCTCCCGAGTCACTGAGATACAGGCATGCATATAATGCCTGGTTTTACACACTCCATCTTGTCATACATCAGAGATTCCCAGTTTAAGCAGCTGTGCTAGGTTGATGCACTTTAGTGCAGACTTTTGGGAGGAAGTTTTCTCAACTATCATTAAGACTGAACACCTTACCAACGTGCTTCAGAGACACAGATGGCTTCCCATCCATGTGAATAAGAATCAAAGATTTTACCATGGCCTCAGGGCCCTATACAGACTGCCCCTGCATGTTTTTTAACATCACCTCAAACTACTCCTGCCTGGACCCATGTTGCAGACACACTCACCTCCCCTGGTTCCTGCAGAAAGACAAGCTTGAGCACAGATTGGTCCCTGTGCCTGAACTCTTCATTGTCCCCAGCCCCATCCTGATCCTTACATGATTGGCTCCTTACCTTTCACGACTCAGTCCAAATTTCACCTCTTAACCTTAGCTCCGTACCCCAAATCTGAAACAGCCTTGCTGTTACTATCTTGTTAGCATGTTTGAATCCCCTGTACAGATGTAACCCTAAAAGATACTTTGTTCATTTTGTAGCTTTCTTTTCACAAACCACTATACAAATATGCCTGTAAGGGTGAAGGCCTTGTCTTGAGCATCACTATCATCCCAGTCCACAGTACAATGCCTGGCACAGAGTCAGGACACAGGGATCAAAATATAGTTTTTGACTGAATATGGTTTTAATAAGGTTAAAGCTCTGTACTGGTCTAATTTTTATTATACATCTGAACTGGTAAACTCCTGAAGAATTGAAATGAACAGTAAAGTATCTTCCCAGCCTTTATTGAAGAATTTCCATGTATCAGGCACAGTATTAGGAACTATATCCACATTTTTACTTTTTTTCTTTCTTTTTATTTATTTATTTATGTTTGGTATTGGGATTGAACCCAGAGGTGCTTAACCACTAAGCCACTTCCCAAGCCCTTTTTAATATTTTATTTAGAGACAGAGTCTCCCCAAGTTGCTTAGGGCCTTCCTAAATTGCTAAGGCTGGCCTCAAACTTGAGATCCTCCTGCTTCAGCCTCCCAAGTCACTGGGATTATAGGCATGCACCACCAAATTCACCTCCACAACATCTTTACATGTTCTTTAGGCAGAAGTCTCTAAGGCTGATTTTGCAGAAGTAAACATAGACCCAGAGAGGGGCAATCCCCTGCTAAAGATCACACAGCCAGAATGTTGTGGCTCCCAGATTATCTTCAAAGATATCTCAGATAAAGCCCAACCTTCTACCTGCAGCACAGGACTCCTTTATGTGGGTCCAGATTTGAGATACAGCAAAGTCTCCTTTGTGTTAAGCTAAAGTAGGTAATTTTAAAACAGTGAAATACCTAAAAGTCTACCCTATTATTAAAAATTAAAATATCAACCATTTTTTTTTCATATAATGTCATCAAGAAGGGAAGCT